GAATTTAACATTTGCTTAGCACCTAACAAGGTCAGACATACAGTTGTTTAAAAAACATACACAGAGGCATGCATAGACATAAACTTTGCTGGAATTAAACAATATTTAATACAACAAAATTAATTGCAAAGGTAACACTTGATCTTCAAAGAGGGGCATGTCAAAAGGACACAGGAGCCCTAGCTGGTTTGGCTCAGTGGATAGAGCGTTGGCCTGGGGACTGAAGGGTCCCAGGTTTGATTCCAGTCAGGGGCACATGCCTGGGTTCTCGATTGATCTCCAGTAGGGGGCATGCAGGAAGCAACCAATCAATGATTCTCTCTCATTGATGTTTCTATCTCTTTCTCCCTCTTTCTTCCTCTCTGAAATCAATAAAAATATATTAAAAAAAAAAAAAAGGACACAGGAACCAAACAGCAGGAGCGACCCATGGCCAAAGCTGGAGCAATCTGAGCAACAGTTAATGTAATGTAGACTTATTCCTCAAGTATAAAATAAATATGCACAGTCCACACTAATATAAGAAAATAATTGAATAAATAAATGAGGGAGGAGGGACAAATCTTGCAGAATTCCATGTTGAATATGTAGATCCTCTTCCCTCAAGGAGATGGAGCTCCCTTGAGTGTGGGCTGTACTTAATGACTCACTTCTGAAGCATGAAGTATGGAAAGGGAAAAATGGTAACTGTACAATGGAAAACTTGGCAGACATTACTTTAACCAAATAATCAAAGTTAAGGTCAAGTCCTTTATCAAGGGCTATTTTGGTCATATTAATGCAGAGCACGGGAATGACAAAGTGACATCTTTACATCACTGTGATGTAACAGTTATGTTTTATTCCTTTTCTGCTTAACCCTGATTTTGACTAATTGAAAGTCAGTCTCTCCAAAAGCTTCTTCTTGGAGTAGCTGAACATTTAGATGAGGTTAATGAATGTTACACTGACACAGTGGTTCTTCATTGCAGGAGATCCCCCTCCATACTCAGCACTGTTTTTGGGATTGTGTATGTGTATATGTATGTGTGTGGGGGGAGGGAGGGAGGAGTTGCTACATATTTAGTGGGTAAAGACCAGGGATGCTAAAAATCCTGTAATGACTTCCACAACAAAGAATTATCTGGCATCAAATGTCAATCGTGCTGAGGTTGAGAACCCTAAACTAATAAATGCATATGTCCAATAGACATTTTTTGGGTACTTATAGTATCCCTCACATAAGGCTACATTTTCCAGATGACACAGATAGGCCCTGCCCATCTCCTCTGGAAGCTTACCAGCATGTTGGGGAGTTGGATTACAGATGAAACAGTACTGTATATGACATTTTATATATAAAAGTCACTACTGTATAAGACAATTTATATATAAAGGCCATGCAACCCGGCCAGCATGGCGCAATAGTTGAGCATTGACCTATGAACCAGGAGATCACAGTTCAATTCCTAATTCCTGGTGGAGGTGCATGCCTGGGTTGTGGGCTAGGTCCCCAGTGTGGGGCAAACAGGAGGCAGCCTATGAGTGGTTCTCTCTCATCATCGATGTTTCTATCTCTCCCTTCCTCTCTGAAATAATAATAAAAGAATAGTTCAAATAAGTGTTTTGGATTGTCTAGAAAGGTAAAGAGTTATCTAAAATGGCTCTGTGTAGGAGACAGGACTTTCAATGGACCTTAAGTACTGGTGTAATGAGTAGGAAAGAGGAAACCGGAAGAACCATTTATTTTACTTAAGCAATACCCAGAAAAAAAAAGAAATACCAGGAGTAAAACATGATTTGAATAGTCATAAAGACTGTTGGTACACTCTTCTTTCCCATGCTACTTACAGTGGTGGGTGGGACCTTATAGTTTTTTCACACAAGCTGAGAAGAGGTTTCAATTGAGTAGGGTGCATCAGTGTGTTGAAATGATTGTGTACCTCCTCCCATCTTGAACCCCTGCCTGTATACGTTGTCCTTCATCTGAGAATAAGTGCCTCACAGATGTGCTTGGGCTAATATTCTTTTCCTTTTGGTCATATTATTCCTCACTGGTAACTTTACTCTTCATTCCTCTTTTTTGCCCTTTGCGCCCACCCTATTTTTTAATATGTGATGATGATTAGCTGTAGATTGTATGAGATTATATGTTGTTTATAGAACTTTATACCATCCACAATGATGATTGCAACACCTTCAAGGCTCTTTGGAAATAGATATTGTGGGGACTCCATTGGTTGAAAAGAAAGATAAAATTCTCCTTGCCAGACTTACTAAAGGGACTTGAAACATTTGTTAAAATGTATCTTGGCCAGTAGATGGCGCTCTCCTCCCTTTGTGTAAATATGTTATGAATGAATAAGCTCTCTTTGCCCTCCCTTCCCCCAAGCGCTGTTGTAGTGAAAACCAATCCATCTCCAAGTCCTTTCTAAATCTTTTTAAAAAATATATTTTTAAATTGAATTCAGAGAGGAAGGGAGAGGGAGAGAGAGATAGAAACATCAATGATGAGAGAGAATCATTGATTGGCTGCCTCTTGCACGTGATTGAGTCTGCAACCCGGGCATGTGCCCTGGACTGGAATCAAACCCAGGACCCTTCAGTCCACAGGCCCATGCTCTATCCACTGAGCCAAACCAAATCTTTTAAATTCATCCTCTTTTCTTTATTCTTTATTTCAGGTCCTTCCCATATCTCTCCTATGGTATTAGAATAATGTAATAACCTGCCTCTAGTATCCTTTGGTCCTAACCCAATATGTTATCATCAGAATCACTTTCCAAAAACACAGATTGTCAATGCCATGCTGAAAAGTGGTGTGTATGGAGGGTGGCAGTGGGGGGGCGGGTGCGGGATTCTCTATGAAGGCAATGGCAGGAACAGAAAATTCAAAGGGAAGTGGAGGCCTCTCTAGGTAACAGATTTGTCTCAGGGCAAGTGTGACTGGCTATTGTGGGAAAGGTAGATTCAGGTCCTCCTGCCAAGAAATTAGAACTTGCTCAATAGGCCTCAGTGGTTCTCGACCTGTGGGTCGCGACCCCTTTGGGGGTCGAACGACCCTTTCACAGGGGTCGCCTAAGACCATCGGAAAACACATATATAATTACATATTGTTTTTGTGATTAATCACTATGCTTTAATTATGTTCAACTTGTAACAATGAAATTGGGGGTCACCACAACATGAGGAACTGTATTAAAGGGTCGCAGCATTAGGAAGGTTGAGAACCACTGCCATAGAGAATCACTGGATTCAAAGCTGTGTTTGAACAAGATTAATGGGACCAGGCATGCGGATGGGCTGGGTGAAAAGGAAGAGTTCAGTGGAGAAAGCTTATAAGAAGGGTAAAGGGAGAGGCATAGCCATCTGATTTGCAGTTTGGAATACTCAGAGTAGTAGTTCCTCAACCACAATATTCATCTGTAAAATACTTAGTTACAGAATCAATGTCAGGAAACATCTAGGAAGTCAGGAATACACCCACATATTCTGATGTCCTGTGTGCACGTGTCTGTGTGGCCAGCCTTATGTTTTCTCACTGCCTCTGGGTAGATTAGTAGGTGCCAGAAGCAAAGCCACTACACTTGTTTTCAAGTTAGAAGCAGAAAAAAGAAAAACAGCTTGAGCTGCTTTCGGTATCACAGGCTTTCAATGTGTTATTATTCAACACTACAGTGTCAGATTTAGATTTTCCACCTCGAGGAATTGGGTTTAGCTTTAATTAGTTGCTGTGAATATTTCTGAGCCAACTCTTGGGAAACATTTATCTAGAAAAGTGGTTTCACTAAAATATAAGCTGGATTCAGGGTGTCATTTTTCTATCAAGCTTTGTATCATGTTCACACAGTTATAAATTCTCTCCCGCCATCTGGATGATTTTTGCCACCGCCCACCATTGTTATATCAGATAATTATTCATTATAATTTAAAATACTATAATATTGAGGCCATCTGTATTGCCACCCAAGCTCTATGAGTAGCTGCAGGACTTTAGATCATGAATATTTTTCAGAGAAAAGATGATGCAGGTTATTCTGCATAGAGGCAACTAATGCATTTTTCATCCTGCAACTCTTCAAAAAAACAAGCTTAAAAATACCAGACAAATGAAAAACAGACTTCAGCAGTTACATGCAGCTTCCTGAGTGACTGAAGAATGTGCCTCTTGTGGTTAAAATGAGGGATCTGTTTAATATGGACGAAATACCAACACTCCAGGCATTTTCATTGACATTTCACTGTGACTCTTTGAACTTGGGAGTGCTGACACGAAAACCTATTCTTGCTGCTCTGGAAGCCTGCAGGCAGACTCCAGAGCAGGGCAGGCGAGGTAAAAGGCTGTGTCCCTATCACCTTTTCTCTACTTGTGTCTTTGTGTTTATACTTCACTTTCATTTATACTGTTGCACTCCCCGGTTTCCCAGGATTCCTTTTCTGAAACCAGTTAGGAAACCAGGCAAGGGTTTGTTCTCATGCTCTCAAATCCCATGGCCTCGCCAACACTGGACTTGCGTACTGGACCAAAGTGAAAATATTTGTGGTGGGTATTTGTAAAGACCTTTGCCAAAGGTCAAAGAGCACGTCTGTTCCTTGGAACCATTAGTTTCCCAGAGGGGCTCTTGGGGCACATTGGAGAACAGATTCAAAGGGTGAAGGAGTCTAGGGAAGCCCCCTTCTGTGATTCCCCCCAGCGCCGGCTGGGCTGGGCTGGGCTCCGGGGCAGCCCGGTTGTCTGGCAGCAGCCCGGGAGAGACATGCTGTTTTGTTTAAATCCTCCACATTCTTTGCCATATCCCCATTGGCCGGATGGGGCTCCCCGCCGCGGCCGCTGCTGATGTCAGCCTTGCTGGCGCTGGCTCCTCCCGCACCCACCTCCCGGGCCCGAGGCACACTGCAGCTCCGCGCGGACTCTCCGGCTCTGGCGAGGTGGCTGA